CCGTTCTCATTAGATCCGTAGTTAAGTAGGCATGCTTCCTACAGATTGCGAACAGCATTCCCAGCAACCTTGGCAGGTGAGGCCCCGCGTAAAGGAAATGCTCAATGCTGAGGCCGTCGTGCCCTGGCGACTTACCACGCTTCATTCCTTTTATCTCCTCGAAAACCTCCTTGGCAGTGAAACGATCTGACACGCAGGTCACGATCGGCTCAGCAACCACCCTATCACATTTACCAGCATTGTCCGTGGCGGTGACAGGCTGAACCTGGAAATGCGCTCGAAACAAGTTCGCAACATCCTTCGGGTCACTAGCGCCGTCGACACTCACCGGGACGGCGGACTTTGGACCCATTTTCTTTGTTTGCTGCCAAAAATCCCGAAAGTCTTTCTTTTCATGCTTACAAGCTAGTATATTCATTTTAATTTGCTTGTGGTTAATTTGCATTGCTAATTTAGTGATTTTGGCAGTATCTCAATTTATTTTTAAAAACTTTTCTCGACTCGCACATATCTATGTATAAGGAGCCCTCTCGTGGCCTTCCATATCATACCCAGTTTAGGAATTTCTGGCGGGCCATCTTGGTGCGCAGCCCGCACGTGTTTGTTCCAGCCCGCAAGAGGGTGGGCGTTTTTCCTGTCACCATTACCACCCGCATGGCTAAGCCTAGCTGCCTCTTGCATAACCTTTACAATGCTCAAATATAGGTTATCTATTATAACTAAGTGACCCAAACTATGATTATTACAAAGAGTATCACAACAACTACTTAATTTATCAGGAAATTCAATTTCTTTTAATTTTTCATTACAGAGTTTTGTGTACAATTCTAACTCACTCTTATTTCTATTACCCCTATAGCTTTGTCAGTTGAGGCACACATCAAAGTTTGCTTAGACATCAGTTTAGCAATCTCGCACTGAATTTCTAAAGGGAAATGATCAGACCAGTAAACATCGTAGTGTACCTTCACAGAAACCAGAGACCTCCGCGCCGCCTCAGTGATTATGCAATGATCCAACCACCTCCTACTACCATGCGCTTCACTGACAAAGGTATATGTGTTTGAATCTAAACCCAAAATATTAAGATCAATAAAATTCCAATTTAACTCATTACAAAAATTTAACATTTCAGTACCAAACAAATACCCTGGGTGGGCATTAAAATCCCCTAGATTCAATATCACAATTTTCAACAATTGCCGCAATCTCACTCAGACACTGAACGTATTCTACTAAATTTTCCGCACAATCTGTAGGCATATACACACTAAAAACTAACATCTCTCGGTCCGTAGTACTAATTTTTATTGCCGCAATACGATCACTATCACATTCCATAACCGAAACACAGTGAAACTTCAACTTATTCCAAACAGCGCCACTCCGCCATACGGACGCCCACGTAAAATACCTTGAGAAGTATCTGCCACTGACTTACCATAATAGCCAAATTCCTTGCTAAAATAACTGAGTTCTGATATTTCATGCGGTAACAGCCAGGTTTCTTGCAGTGCAATAATATCTGCCTTACGACTCAGTTTAGTTACGCACTCTCAGGATCTCTTAAAGTTTTTACAATTAAACAAAATAAGTGATGTTTCATACATAATGATTAAAATTACGTCTCATTTTTACTTGAATCACTTTCTTTGTTATTTTCACGTCGGCGGAAATTAACAAAGCGATGAAATATTATTCCATAAGGCCACAGATTACAATCCATAAATATAGTCAGTTTATGTTTAGGAACAAGTACCTTGTAAGAACTATAATACTTTATCTCATCATCATCACCATCATCATTAAAGCCCTTCACAAGTCCACTGCTGAACATAGGCCTCCCCCAAGTAATGCCACAAAGCACGGTCCTGAGCCACCTGCATCCACCGACTTCCTGCATGTCTTACCAGGTCGTCACTCCATCTAGTGGAGGGGTCGCCCTACACTACGCCTACCAGTACGAGGCTGCCACTCGAGAACCTTTCTTCCCCATCGGTTATCGGTTCTTCGAGCTATATGGCCGGCCCATTGCCACTTCAGCTTACTACTCCGTTGGGCTATGTCGGTCACTCTGGTTTTACTGCAGATATCCTCATTTCTGAGTCTATCACGCAGAGAAACTCCGAGCATAGCCCTCTCCATAGCTCGCTGAGCGACCTTGAGCGTCCTCATACGGCCAGCAGTGAAGGACCACGTCCCAGATCCGTAAGTCATCACTGGCAACACGCACTGGTTGTACACATTAGTTTTCAGAGATTGAGGTATACCTGACGTGAAGATGCGTCATAATTTCCCGAACGCTGCCCAGCCGAGTTGAATCCGTCGATTGACCTCGAAGTTGGAATTACCTAGTCGGACTAATTGTCTCAGGTAAACGTCCTCGTCAACAACTTCGAGCATAGTGCTCCCAACAACTACCGGCATAGGTGTGACATGGACATTAAACATGATCTTTGTTTTGTCCATGTTCATCTTAAGACCTATCCGTTGGGAGACACCATTGAGGTCATTGAGCATAGTGCTAAGGTCCTCCAGCGATTCTGCCATAAGGACTATATCGTCCGCAAATCGAAGGTGAGTGATGTACTCGCCATTGATGTTAATACCGTATCCTTTCCAGTCCAGTAGCTTGAAAACGTCTTCCAACGCAGCGGTGAAGAGTTTCGGGGATAAAACGTCACTCTGTCTTACACCTCTCTGCAGTTGGATAGGTTTCGAACTCTGGTTCTGTACTCGGATAGCCATCGTAGCCCTACTGCACAAACACTTCAGCACTTCGATATACCGACAGTCAACTTGACACCGCTGAAGGTACTGTAGCACCGCCCAAATTTCGACGGAATCAAAGGCTTTCTCATAGTCCACATACGCTAGGCAAAGTGGCAGAGAGGCTCTTCGGTCTTCTGTACAATCTGCCGCAGGGTATGTATGTGGTCTATGGTACTGAAGCCTTTTCGGAAACCAGATTGTTCGGGAGGCTGGAAGTCGTCGAGTCTGCGTGCGAGACAATTCGTAATGACTCTCGAAAACAGCACGTAGACGTGGCTAAGAAGGGAAATCGGTCTGTAGTTCTTCAAGAGAGCGTTGTCGCCTTTCTTAAAGAACAAGACCACCGCACTTCTGCTCCACGCCTCCGGAGTAGTGCCACCATGGAGGACGGAATTGAAGAGCTTCTGAAGGACTTCGAGTACCGGTGTTCCACCCGCTTTCAGAAGCTCCGCTGTAATTCCATCCTCGCCTGGGACCCTGCGGTTTTTAAGGTGCTGGAGAGCCATTCTAATCTCGCTCAGACTGATGTCCGGGATATCATCGGAATAGTGTCGGGTAAGACTTGCTCTTGGATCGTTACTCATACTTGCGTGTGGCTCCAACGATGATGTGTACAGCTACCCATAGAACCTCTCAATCTCACTCAAAATCTCAGGTGTCCCGGAAACGATGCTGCCACACTCAATCTTCAGCTTTGACAGTTGGCTCTTTCTGGCAGACAGATCTCTGGCAAAGACTTTGGAGCCCTGGTTCCGCTCGATCGCTTCTTTAATACGAGCAGAATTAAAGTTGCGTAAGTCTCGCCGCATGCATTTGGAGATCTGTCTGTTCAGTTGCCTGTATGCTGTCAAATCCGTTGACAATTGCAGCCTCATTTCCCGTCTAACAGCCATGAGATTAAGAGTGTGATCGGAGAGTTTTTGTGTTCTTCTGCGGCGGGTCTTGCAGAACTTAGCTCCGACCGCATGGACAGTTTCCACGAGCTTGTCATTCATATCATCCACTGCATTGCAATCTTGTAGGCACTGAAAGCGGTTACGTAACTCGAGCTGAAAGTTTTCGGGATTCTGGATTAGAGCACGAGGGGGGACGGAGCGCTGACTTCATTAGACGAGACCTCTCCAACTTAACGTTTAGGTGCAGTGTGCCTCTAACCATTCGGTGATCGCTCCCAGTTTTCACCCTTGCGATCACTGAGACATCACTGAACAGTTGGCGTCTGGTCGTCATAATGAAGTCAATCGCATTTTTTGTCGAACCGTCGGGGCTCGACCAGGTCCACTTCCTGTGGGGCCGCTTCTGGAAGAAAGAGTTCATCATAAAGAGTCCCTCTTTCTCCATAAAGTCAGCCAGCTGCTGGCCCCTACGGTTCCGTTGCCCTACTCCAAATTTCCCTAACTTCAGCTCACCGGCTTCTCTTGTGCCTAGTTTTGCGTTAAAGTCTCCCATCAACACCGTGTAGTGGGATTTGGAGGAATGCATGGCTCTGGAAATATCCTCATACATTTCCTCCACCTCCTCATCGGGATATGCCGAGGTTGGTGCGTAGACCTGTATGACCTTCAGCGAATACCGTTTGGTGATTCTGAGTATCAGGTACGTGATCCTCGTCGACACACTCCCAATCTTTACAACGTTGTTGACGAGAGACTTGTGGAAAATAAGTCCGACACCCCCTTGAGACAGATGGTCGCCCTCCTGGTGATAGAACAAGTTGCCGGACTCGAGGATTACCGTGTCCTCCCCCTCTCTTCGGACCTTAGATAATCCAATAATTTGCCAGCGCAACTTGTCTACCCCTTCTTCCAGCTCCAGTATCTTCTTGTCAGTCCTCAGGATGCGTGCGTTATACGTTGCCAGGTCGAGTCGTCGTAGGTGGCAACCGAACCTCCACCGGAGATTCTTAGCACCCCCTGCCCCGTCGTTACCATGGTCGCGACCGTAGCCAGGAAAAGCGGGGCCGCCGGGGACTGGGGGCCGTTTATTTCCGTCGTTGCTCATGGGGGGATATTTGCCATAGTTGCCACGCTTGGCGAGCGGGTTGGCAACCGCAGTTTTTTATTATGTTATTGTTGTTATTAGGAAAATGCTGCTGCCCATCTCCCTTCTGTGTCCCTCTGTCGCCTCTTACGACACCCACGGGAAGATATGGGGTAGTGGATATTCTCAACCGCCACTACACGGCTAATCCTTTATCTGCTTAGACTTTATTTTTTGTAACTTCACTGTTATGTTAGTTTTACTTTTTTGTACGATATAATGTCACTCTCACATGTATCGACATGTACATTATTTATAAACAGTGCTATTAGAATATCCGCTGCGCCGAACTTTTGCTCTAAATCAATGTAGGTGCCCTTTTCGCTGTTAAAACGGTTCCTATATTTTTTGCTCTGCACTAATTTCCACTCTTCACTTTTTTGCTGTTCCTTCCAAGTAATACCATTATTATTACTACGCACAAGTTCCGACATACTCATTTGTGTATTAGTTTGTGTGGTTGCGCGTTCGGGATCTATGCGATGCTCATTTAATGAGGCCAGTAACGCGGTTTCAGACACGTTTGAAACATCTGCATGGGCCTCCACGGGTACCTCGATGCGCTGTGTAACAGAGACAGATGATTCGCCATCCGGTGCACGCGATGGAGACGGGAAGCGCTGCGCAGGGGCAGACCGTGTGCCACTAGTAGTGCACTGACTCATTGTCACGGTCGTCCTTGTGTGAATATTAGATGTCGTTGTCTCGGGCGGTATATGTATTATACCAATTGGACCACTTTCACAATTAAAACTATCTTGTAAATTAGCAGATCCCCGTATTCTATTCACATAATTGTTGCACTCAAAATTTTTAACTAAGGACGCTTGCTTAAGTTTCGTCACTTCATTTTTTAACTGTGTGAAATTCTCGCTATTTACATAATCCTCCTTAACATACTCGAGTTCATTTCGCAGCGTAATCAAATCTTTAAGCAGCCTAGTGACATCGATATGATCAAATGTGACCGTGATCAAATAGGCCTTTATCCTTATAATAAAGTTTCTGTTTTCTTAAGCACCAGCTAGTACTACTACATTAGTAGGCATATTTGTCGAGGTCTTTTATTCAATCTTTGTAACGTAATTTTAACAGAAAAAGTTAACAAAATCTACACGCCACTTCAATTAGAGGAAAATACCGGCCTATTGTTATCTTCGTATATAGGAGTCCGTTTACACAAAGCATTCAATTGAACCTATTCAAACCACCTGTCTGTTCGCCTCATTACTACGATGTCATGGGTCAACCTTTCCTTTTCAGAGACAAACAAAGAATATTGTTGTACAAAACTCAAAGCGTTCTGTGCCATTACTGATAAGTCTTGAGCAACACGAGTCAGCAATCTCCCCGCTCTTGATATACGGAACAGGTATATTGAATTTAGTGTTTACTTAGCGGAAAACAAAACAGAACGCGTTTACATTAGATTTTTGTTAGTAGTAAATAGCGATAAGGAAAAACTTGCAAGTTGGCCTTATCGAGAGATTTACAATAGAATATAATATTTTATTCAATATAGATTACTAAAATGCTTATTGAAAGTCATTTATAATTTTACTACGGGTTCGGAAAAAACCTCTGTTCACAGAACTAGCGAGAAACCCAGCGGCAATTTATTTTTAAACATTAATTTACATTTTGAATAAAACTATTTTTAAGGATTTTATCACGTTTCATTTTACTTATTTAAATAAATAAGAATAAATAAAGTTGAACGCCCAAGAAACACGGGTAGTTTGTTACATGCTGTATGAAAATGCTATGGCGGAATTGTAAACCTTCATCTATCTAAGACTAAGGTCTTTCTGACCTTTCTCTTAGTCCTTTTTCAGACCAGAATAGAACAAAATTACCTTACACGATAAAAACAAGACCAAGTGAAAATTTTTAGGGACAGTAGAATAATTTAACATTGTAATCTCCTAGCTCACATTTAAGCAACGAATTTAGAATACAAATCTCATCTCGACCCTCACATAATATGATCAGAGGCATCTATGAGAAATTCTACAGTAATCTTATGGTGTACTAAACTATTTCATAATTGTAAAAAATATAAAATATATTTTAATATCGAGGCAGTTTAAACTTTATTTATACTGCGTCTTCTTTGAAAATCACATACATAAAACGTATAACATAAGCTCTTACATCTGTTACCCAGGCGGATACGCAGAGACTTCGATTCGATAGAGATTAGATAGAGATTCGATAGAGAGACAGAGTTTCATTTAGCACAATGCGAACAATCCTCACTCGTTTCTATCACATTCATATATCTATGTTTAAATCTTCGTCAACTAAGTGTACTCTCAACTTTACCCATGTTCAGGAAATCGCCAATGTGCATATATCTACGATAGCATCACTCACTACTACATCATAAACAGCACTAACTACCCTAAAATATAACAAACAAATTTAATTTTTAAAAATATCTAAAACATTTCACTTTAAAATACGAGTACTTTAGTGAAAACAAAAGATGGTTGCATTCAGTGAAAATATCACAAAAGTAAATTTACTTATTGCGAAAAGGAGAACGGGGGCGTTTAGTTTAAACATCTCAGCGTTTCGTATAATCCTGCTCAAATAACTACATTGTTCCATATTCAATGTAAAAGCGACTTGAATGTAACACATGTAGGGATTACTAAGGAACATTGGACAACAAGGGCTTATGCGTTTATAGTGGAACTAAGCTTTTAGTTTGAGCAATAGGAGCATGTCAGTTAGTGTAAATCAGTGTTAAGTAGTGTAAAGCAGATTCTAGCAATTGAATATAGTAATTTATGATTTATGTGTTGGATATCAGATGAATGGTGAATACGTAAATTGAGAAGTCTGTTTGTGTGAAATATAATGAAATATTATGATTGTACAATAAGTAAAATAAGTGACAACAATATAGAGATCTGAGACGTGATCCTTCCCTGATGGCCGAGGATGAGAGAGGAGAAAGAAGCTTGGATTTTTCTGTGTGATAAGATCGATAGAAAATTGAATTATCTAAAACATGGTACTTAAGACGTTCAATAATGCGTGCGTATGGGCGTACATGTTTACAAAACTTAACTGAAATACATTTCTACTAAGTTAAAGTGACACTTGGAAGTTATTTATATTATTAAATTAAGATATTATGTAGAATTATATCAAATTATTTTTTTAATACAAAAAAATCTTGAATTCTTATGCAATAGATTGTTAGTAAATTTATTAATGAATTATTCGATTATCATTACATAATTAATATTGAATATTATTTTAAATTACATAAACTATTATTACATTTTGTGATTAAAATTACATTATTATATTAATTACTAACTGTCATTATTTTGATAAAAGTACTGAATTGACAATGTGCCAAACATATATCTCAAAAAACTGACAACTGAAAGGTTCTCAAATGGCAGCCTGGTGGTATCGGTGAGCAATAAGTAGGGCTACCGCCCACTAGATGGAGTGACAAAATGCTAAGACATGAAGAAATGGATGCAGGTGGATCAGCACTGTATTTTGTACCGTTAAAGGGAGTCGTACATTTAAAAGTAGACTCGTAAGAACTGCAATGATGATTGCGATGATACATAAAATGTGGAGCGGGAACTCACACGTTATGATATGCAGGAATTCTATGCATGCAGGTGAGCCAAGATCGAGCTTTGTAGCGTCGCCAGGTTGACAATCTCAGTACTAGACAAACGAAAATTAATTTGCTTACTATAAAGAATACGATTCGAAGCGACAGTAGCCTAATGGCAGGGCGCGGACCGCGAACTCAAAAAGGTCGTGGGTTCGAATCCGCCATTCGACTACTTGCGTGAACCACTCGTAACACAAGCAAATTAAGCTTACCATGAATATTTAAGGGGAATATTAGTAATGTATATATAGCATTGTTAATATTCTTTTTATAAAAAAATAAAAAAAAATCCCATTACGTGAAACTAATTTAACGGATTTTACCACTGCAAGACTCAAAATACTAAGCTCGTTCTGCGTAGATCGAAAAATTCGAAAGATCTGAAGGAAGCCGGGCTAACCATGACACTGTGACGTTAAACACATTTAAACGTGGTACAGCCATAATGCAGTTATATTACTATATTTGCTTGACCGGGGTCAAGTCGACCCATTCGTGCTACACGAGGACCACGTTTTCAAAGAATACCTGCGTAAAATAGTAGCCAAATGATGCTACGTTTTGTATAGTGAGTGTAGAAAACCGGAGACCTTTTTTACTGGAAACGAGGCATTCCATCGTAGTCCTCAAGGGTGACAACGCTTCAAATCTGCATTTTGATTTGTAATCGAGGAAAGTTGTAGATATCTAGGGGCCACAGTAACCACTTACCATCAGGTGGACTGTGTGCTCGTTTGCTACCCTATCCTATAAAAAAACAGCTCCAATACTCCCGTGACCATGAGTGCTGTAAAGCACTCGAAATGTCGCGAATTAAAAATTAAAAATTAAACGCGATGAAATTCGTTAAATAAAATAAGTATCATTTAAATTGTAGTATTCGCGTAACTATTTGAAATCATTAAAGAGATCCCATATTAACCAGTAGACTGATTACAGGCTGAAACCAATAAATCATACACAAGCTTTTCCTTTGTTTGATTTTATGATTATTACTATAAATTAAGACTGAATCAGTCTATGCTCTCATTCCCTCTATTACGTTTTACGAGACCCAGGGGATGATATGGAATAATGGATTGTATTATATGGTATCTTTACATATATACAAATTACGGCATAATACAAGATATAAAAATAGAGATGCAATATATAATTTTAAGTTAAACGATTAAAATTATATATATTTTTATAGAATATGGGTTCGCAATCGAATCAACGAGCACAGAACACAGAGTACACGGACACACAGAACACAGTCCATCCGACGTTAAGTGTATGCCGTGGCCCATAGACATTGACATTTATCCCCGATTAAGAATCAGAACGCAGATACGTTGTCACTCCTGAGGACCAACATGGAATGCCTCGTTTCCAGTAAAAAAAACTGTCCCGGATCTCTGCATTCACCGTACGAAATACGGCAGTGTTAAAAGCTGCTATTTTACGCTGGTATTCTGTGAGAGCGGGGTCCTTCTCCGGTCGAGCCGATTCATTCGTGCTACAACCATGATATAGCTGCACCGAGGCTCTATCACGTATAAATTAAATAATAATTAATTAATTAATAAACTGTATAGAAAAGAAAAATTTTAATCAACATACATTATAACATTGAAATATATACAACATTTAAACACTTATAATAAAAATAAAAAAGTATATTATCATACAGTCCTACTCACCCCGGTATGGTGCTAAAAACGCTGGCTTCGTTTCCTAGCTGAATGGCTAAACTAAGCCTTTGAGCGAGAAAAGAACCAGTCCTGTTATCACCAGCAGCGACGACGAGTCGCTTCACAATCGTAGCTGCGATTCTTTAGGAACTTCATCGCACGTGGACTAGACCACCGATAAAATCTACAGCAAATGTCACAAATTGTTAATCAACTCTCAGAGACTCATACTTGCGCCACTTACTTAGTTTCACTGCAGCCTCTGATGTCGCCCCAGCTCTAAACAAAATATCTCTGAGATGAGAGGCCGCCAAAGAGTTTATATTACATTCAAGATAGCTTATTACTTATTATTTATTAAAATTATTTTTGTATTCACCACTGATTTGGAAAATACCTTTGTTCTGGTGTCCTAAGTGATTACGCATAAATGAATCATAATTGCCCTAAAATTAAATTTTTTTAATCAAATAGACATTTTTGATAATAATGAATAGCTTCTTCTACGCTTCGATGTATATTTAGATTCGAGGAAAATATTTTTAAGATCGTTTTAGGTAAGCCCCTGCTGAAATTAGATTCTCAGTCAGCCAGCATTGATAGTCGCTGAAGATTATTAGATTTGCATGAAAATTTACATAAAGTCGCTCGATATCGAATAAATTTAAATTTTCCACCTAAAATATTTTTAAAAAAACTTGTGTGTACTGGTTCAAACTTTGTACTTCTTTAAAAACGCTGATTTTCTGAATTTAGAACAGAATTGTTGGGCTTAATCGTGTATTGGGGAGTAAAAATATCCACTAACCCATATCGTCCCGTGGGTGTCGTAAGACGAGACATACAGAAATTGTATCAGGTGTATGCTGCAGCATTTTCCTGATAACAACCTCAATATATATATATATATATATATATATATATATATATATATATATATAAATAATATGTGTGTGTATTGTATGTATTTAAGAAGATATAAAG